ACAGCCACCCCAGTGTCGACCTGCTGGGCTTAGGCGATCCTTCTACCTCAGCCTTCCAAGTAGCTGGAACTACAGGCGCACACTACCATGCCCTGCTAATTTTGGTGTACTGTAGAGATGAGGTCTCGCCAAGTTGCCTGGGATGGTTTCAAATCCGCGGGCTCAGGCAATCTACTCGCCTTGGCCTCCCAAAATGCTGGGATTATAGGTTGAGTCACTGAGCCCAGTCAACCTTTATTTCTTCTATTCTCCACTTCTCTTATTTGAAACGCAGCAAAATGCTTTGAAAAATAAAAGCTTTTCCAAACTCTATCTGTACCCCCTTACAAGCTAGCCCTTTACAGGAGCCCAAAGAACAGAAGAAAACTGTTCATGCCAAAAAATATCAGAGCGTCAAACTTCCTCAGAGCAGAGCTGAAAGGCACAGCACCCACCTTAATAAGGCCACTGAAGGAGCGTGAGCGCACCCGCCTCTGCACCCGTGGTGTGGAAGGTTCTCGCCCTGGTGTTTGTGTCAAAGCCTGCTTGTTAAACTACAAGAAAACATAGAGAACACTATATTAGCATCTGTGACAACCAACGGCTAAGAGTAAACACCCAGAAAAGCCCAGAAAGAAGAGAGTTTGTGTAAGTGATTAGGGGGTCGACCAGCAAGTCAGAGAGGCAGAAATGATGCTGCCAAAAAGCCAAAACCGATTACATCCTCTGAGAGTCCTGCATGTCACACCCTCACATGTGGAAGGAAACTGAGCTCGGAGAATAACAGTAATCTTTTTTGTTTCTTGTATCAGGGTTTCCACTCTGTCACCCAGGCTAGAGTGCAATGGCACAATTCTGGCTCACCACAGCCTCCACCTCCTAGGATTGCTCAGGCAATCCTTCTGCCTCAGCCTCCCGAGTAGCTGGAACTACCACCATGCCTGGCTAATTTTTTTATTTTTTGTAAAGACAAGGTCTCACTATGTTGCCCAGGCTGTATCACACTCCTGGGCTCAAGCAATCCTCCCACCTCATCTTCCCAAAGTGCTGGGATTACATGCATGAGCCACCATGCCCAGCCAATAAAGTCTTATTCAATGCTTTTTCATCAGTCATTCATTTCCCACTTAAAATAATAATAATGTAGTTCTTAATTTTTCTACTCACTATACCTTTTCTTTCTATACTTTTACAATCTCTGAAATGTAAATTGGCAAATTTTTATCAGTTCAGTTTCCAGAGGTTAAAAAATGACTTTTCTATATACAAGTACCAAGAGATTCTCAAAGTTAATTATCTCAGAAGACAGAAAATCCAGTGACCACTAAAGAACTAGTAAGTAGGCCAGGTGCGGTGGCTCACACCTATAATTTCAGCACTTTGGGAGGCCAAGGTGAGAGGACTGCCTGAGTTCATGGGTTTGAGATCAGCCTGGACAACTTGGTGAGACCTCAACTCTGCAATAAATTTTAAAAAATTAGCCAGGCATGGTGGCACACACCTGTAGTTCCAGCTACTTGGAAGGCTAAGGCAGCAGGCAGGATTGCCTGAGCCCAGCAGGTCGAGGCCGCAGTGGTCATGAGCACTCCAGCCTACTCAAAAAAAAAAAAAAAAAGAGCTTGTAAGTATCCCTCCTGAACATTCAGAGAAGAAAAAACCCACCCTTCCTGGTCAAGCTGGCAAGGGTGGGGAGGCTGTCTCAAATCCAGCCAGGGGATGTTAACTGGCAAAATGCTTTTAGAAGCCAGTCAACAATGCGGAACCAGAGGCTTTTAAAACGCATTTACAAGCCAGGCTCGGTGACTCAGACTGTAATCCCAGCGCTTGGGGTGGCTGAGGTGAATGGATTGCCTGAGCCCGCAGGTTCAAGACCCCCACATGGGCAACTTGGCGAGACCTCATCTCTACAATAAATCAAAAATTAGCTGGGCATGGTAGCACGCACCTATAGTTCCAGCTCCTTGGAAGGCTGAGGCAGAAGGATCGCCAGAGCCCAGCAGGTCGAGGCTGCAGTGGCTGGGAGCGGCCCCTGCACTCCAGTCTGAGTGACAGAGTGAGACTCCAACTCAACAACAACAACAAAAAAATTAAAAATAAAAATAAAATAAAACAAAATGCATTTACAAGGACACACCACCTATCTAGTGTTCTTATCCAAGAAAGAGAGTGAGTTGGAATCAGACTAAGCCTCCAGAAGTAGATCTAATTACCAGTTTACAGCAAGAACTGAGGACTGAGGAGGAACACGTTCAGCAGCATGAAATGCAATCAGTAGAATCTAGACTGTGGGGAGCAATTTGGTTTCTTCCACAAATAAAGTCCAAATATAGCCATGCACCACACAACAATTCTTTGGTCAATGACGGCTGCTATAGATGATGGTGGTCCCATGAGGTTACAGTGAAGTCGAAACATTCGTATCACCTAGTGACATCACAGCCATCCTTATATTACAGCACAAAATGTCACCCACATGTTCATGATAATCCTGGTGTAAACAAACACACTATGCTGCCAGCCACACAGAGTCTAGCACACATGATCGCATACAGCACGTAATTCCTGATATGACTAGTAACCACTACTGGTTTTTTGGGGTTTTTTTTGAGTTGGAGTCTTACTCTGTTGCCCAGACTGGAGTGAAGTGGCCCGCTCCCGGCCACCGCAGCCTCGACCTGCTGGGCTGCGGTGATCCTTCCGCCTTGGCCTTCCAAGTAGCTGGAACTACAGGCGTGTGCTACCACACCTGGCTAATTCTTTTGGTTTATTGTAGAGATGAGGTCTCGCCAAGTTGCCCAGGCGGGTCTTGAACCCGCAGGCTCAGGCAATTCACTTACCTCGGCCTCCCAAAGTGCGGGATTACAGTCTGAGCCACCGAGCCCGGCCAAATTTGTTGTAGAGATGAGGGTTCGTCAAGTTGCCCAGGCTGGTCTCGAACGCATGGCCTCAAGCAATCTTTTCATCTCAGCCTCCCAAAGTGCTGGGATTATAGGCGTGAGCCACTGAGCCTGGCCCCGCTACTGGTTTATGTATTGATTGTACTTTTCATTTTCGTTATTTTAGAAAGTACTCCTTCTTATTATTAAAAAAAACAGGTAACTCTAAAGCAGCCTCAGGAAGGCTCTTCAGACTACTCCAGAAGCAGGCATGGGCCCTGCAGGTAACAGCACCTCTGCCATGTGGTTGCTCCCAAAGGCCTGTCAGTGGGACCAATGTAGAGGGAGATGCCAGCAGCACCGATGGGCCTGACCCCATGTGGGCCCAGGCTCACGTGTGAGTTTGTATCTTTGTTTTTAACAAAAACATTTAAAAATTTGAAAAAACTTCAGCCTTCCAAGTGGCTGGAACTACAGGTACACGCTAAAAAAAATAAAAATAAAAATAAAATAGAAAATAGGTTATAAAGATAGGATGAAAATATTTTTGTAAAGCTGTACAATGTGTTTGTGTTTTAAGCTAAGTGTTATTACAAAAGGGTCAAAAAAGGGTCAGGTGAGATGGCTCACACCTATAATCCCAGCACTTTGGGAGGCTAAGGTAAGAGGACTGCCTGAGCCCACGGGTTCGAGACCAGCCTGGGCAACTTGGCGAGACCTCGTCTCTGCAATAAATCAAAAAATTAGCCGGGCGTGGTGGCACACATCTGTAGCTCCAACTACTTGGAAGGCTGAGGCGGAAGGATCGCCTGAGCCTAGCAGGTGGAGGCTGTGGTGGCTGGGAACATGCCACCGCACTCCAGCCTGGACAACAGAGTGAGGCTACAATTGAAAAAAAAAAAAGCATCAAAAGGTTAGAACAATTTTAAGTCTAGAGAGCAAAAAAGTTATAAGTAAGGCTAAGGCTAATTAATTATTGAAGAAAAAAATTGTTTATAAATGTAGTGTCACATAAGTGCCCAGTGTTTCTTTTTATTTTTTTTTTTTTGAGATGGAGTCTCACTCTGTCGCCCAGACTGGAGTGCAGTGGCCGCTCCCGGCCACCACAGCCTCGACCTGCTGGGCTCCGGCGATCCTTCCGCCTTAGCCTTCCAAGTAGCTGGAACTACAGGCGAGCGCTACTACGCCCGGCTGATTTTGATTTATTATAGAGATGAGGTCTCACCAAGTTTCCCAGGCGGGTCATGAACCCCAGTGTTTCTAAAGTCTACAGCAGTCTACGCCCAAGACCTCCCTGCACTCTCACTCCCCCAGAGCAGCTTCCAGCCCTGCAAGCTGCATTCACAGTGAGCGCCCTAGTGAGTGTGCTGTTTTTTATCTTCTAGACTGTATTTTTACTGTACCTTTTATACATTTAAATATACACATACTTACCACTGTGTGACAACTGCCCACAGTATTCAGGATAGTCACACGCTGGGCAGGTTTGCAGCCCAGGAGCAACAGGCTAGACTACACTGCCTGGTGTTTAGGAAGGATGCCACCTAGGCTTGCGTAATCACACTCTATGGGGTTCACACGAAGATAAAACCGCCTGGCAAGGCATTTCTCAGAACACAGCCCATTCATGAAGTGATGCACAACTGTAAAGCTACAGAAAGGGAGAGAGCGTGTGTATGTGTTCGCCTAACTGTAAAGAGGCCTCCTGGACTGGATTATGGAACAGAAAAAAGGATATTGGTGGAAAAAACTGGTAAAATCTGGATGACGTCGATCAAGTTAATAGCAAAGTACCAATGTCCATGTTTTAGGTTAGACTATGTTCACCTTAGGAGGAATTAAGGAGGTAAGGGTATGTGGAAACTCTGTACTATCTTTGCAACTTTTCCCTAAATCTATAATTACTTCACATTTTAAAGTTTATTCAAACAACCTGGCAATGTTTTAGGAGAAAAAAGGAGGAAGAGAGGGAAAGACAGATATTACATGCTAAGTGGGACCTAGTAGACAAAGAAACCAAAATAATTAAAATAATAATGCATACCCTTTGATCATTCCACTTCTAGGGAATAATCTACAACGAAAATACTTATGAGACCAGGCGCAGTGGCTCACGCCTGTAATACCAGCACTTTGGGAGGCCAAGGCAAGAGGTCTGCTTGAGCCCAGGGGTTCGAGGCCAGCCTGGGCAACATAGCAAGACCCTGTCTCTACAAAAAATAAAAAATCATCCGGGCATGATGGCGTGTGCCTATCATCTCTATACTCAGGAGACTGAGGTGGAAGGATCGTCTGAGTTCAAAAGGTTGAGGCTGCATGAACTGTGATTGTGTCGCTGCACTCCTGGGTGAGTGAGACCCTGACTCAAAAAAATAAAATTTAAAAAATAAATAAATAAAAACAACCTAATTCCCAAATAGTCCACAGTAAGCAAATTATATATAAATTTGGTTACATAGGCTAGAATATTGTGCAAACATTAAAAATGTTCATCGTCTAATAATGACATGGGAAATGCTTGTGATATAAAGATTTTCTTTACATGTTTTTGGAGGTTTCACAGTTTCTATAGTGAGCATCTGTCATTCTTTTTTTTGTTTGTTTTTTGTTTTTGTTTTTTTTTTTTGAGTTGGAGTCTCACTTGGTCACCCACACCGGAGTGCAGTGGCCGCTCCCGGCCACCGCAGCCTCGACCTGCTGGGCTCCGGCGATCCTTCCGCCTCAGCCTTCCAAGTAGCTGGAACTATAGGCGCGCGCTACCACGCCCGGCTCATTTTGATTTATTATAGAGATGAGGTCTCGCCAAGTTGCCCAGGCGAGTCTCGAACCTGCGGGCTCAGGCAATCCACTCACCTCAGCCTCCCAAAGGCACAGGATTACAGGCTAAGCCACCGAGCCTGGCTATTTATCATGTTTTCTAACTGCAGATGACTCATTAGTAAAGCTTACCACTGATGCTCTGCTATACCAGACACTCGACATAGACTATCTTGAACCTTTATAACCATGAAACACAGATGTTAGTATCACCATTCTACAAACAAGAAAACTGAAATTCAGAAAGTTGGCTGGGCGTGGTGGCTCTTGCCTGTAATCTCTGCATTTTGGGAGGCTGAGGTGGAAGGATCATTTCAGTCCAGAAGTTCTAGACCAGCCTGGACAACACAGCTGGTCAAATCCTATCTCTACAGAAAATAAAAGTTGAAATTAAAAAAAAAAAGCACTTCAGCAAGAGCTTCCACTCCTTTCTCTCATGGGACAACACTAGAGCCCACGGAGAAGCCTGCTTTCTGGGTGGAGCCAAACATTAAATGAGAGTCCTAACAACAGGACCGCTGATTCTACAGCCACGCACATTCCTAAAGCCTGTGGCTGTCCCCTGCCTCCAGGCACCTGTCTGATAAGCTGCTTCTTCTTCGCTGACTCGGGCATACTATGGACGTGCTGGAACAGCTCTCTGAGCGCCTCCTCCGTCCGCTGCTGGGTTTCCTCCTGAGGGCAGCAGGAATCCTCCCGACTCCGTTTCTGAGATTTTGCCAGCTGAAAGGACTTAGTGTGACATGAAGTTGTCAGATCAAGGTCATCCTAAAGAAAATTTAAAAGAAAAGCAAAGTCATTTATCCCATGGGCTTTGTTTCTGGCCTCTCGCATAAACCTGGAACAAAAAAAGGGGGAGTGGGGACATGGTATACTCCTATGCCTGGAAACAAGAAAAATTTTAACACTATTATCAGATAAAGAGGGACCTATTAATAAAGGTTATACTAATAGCTCACTCCCGTGACCCGCCCAGAGAGCCTAAATGCATTTAGAGTATTGCTACCAAGAATTATATTTGTTTAAGAGTTCAGTTTTCAAAGCAATTTTTAGAGCCGGGAGCAGTGGCTCATACTTGTAATCCCAGCACTTCGGGAGACAGAGGCGAGATTGCCTGAGCTCAGGGGTTTGAGACCAGCCTGAGCAACATGGTAAGACCTCATCTCAAAAAATCAGTCAGGCATGGTGGCACATGCCTGTGATTCCAATCACTTGGAAGGCTGAGGCAGAAGGACCACCTGAGCCCAGCAGGTCAAGGCTACGGTGGCCATGAGCATGCCACTACACTCTAGCCTAGGCAAGAGTGAGACTCTGTCTCTGTCTTACTTGGAAGGTTGAGCCCAGCAGTCGAGGCTGCGGTGGCCATGAGCGTGCCACTGCACTCTAGCCTGGGCAACAGAGTGAGACTCCGATTGAAAAAAAAAACAGCAGCTGGGCTCGGTGGCTCAGCCTGTAATCCCGCACCTTTGGGAGGCTGAGGTGAGTGAATTGCCTGAGCCCGTGGGTTTGAAACAGGCCAGGCAACTTGGCAAGACCTCATCTCTACAATAAATCAAAAAATCAACTGGGCATGGTAGCACATGCCTGTAATCCCGGCTATTCGGAAGGCTGAGGCGGAAGGATCGCCGGAGCCAGCAGGTCGAAGCTGAGGTGGCTGGGAGTAGCCACTGCACTCCAGTCTGGGCGACAGAGTGGGACTCCAACTCAAAAAGAACAGAAACAAAAAGCATCTTTTTAATCGCATGTAACTTTCACTGCCATTCTATGAGGTAGGCAAGGAAGGTGTCATCATTCCCATTTGACAGAAGAAAAACTGAAGTTAAACTACATTTATTTTATTTTAGTTTTTTTTTAGTTGGGGGGGGTCTCACTTTGTCTTCCAGGCTGGAGTGCAGTGGCTCAGGTGATCATTCCTTAGCCTTCTGGGACTACAGGCGCGTGCCACCATGCTCAGCTAATTTTCTAACTTTTTGTAGAGACAAAGTCTTGCCATGTTGCCCAGGCTGGTCTCAAACTCCTGAGCTCAAGCAGTCCTCTTGCTTTGGCCTCCCAAAGTGCTGCATAACAGGTATGAGCCACTGCACCCGGCCTCAACAGCCCATTTAAAGTCATCTAGATTCTTGCCGGGCTCGGTGGCTCAGCCTGTAATCCTGCGCCTTTGGGAGGCTGAGGTGAGTGGATTGCCTGAGCCCGTGGGTTCGAGACTCGCCTGGGCAGCGAGACCTCATCTCTACAAAAAATCAAAACATCAGCCGGGCATGGTAGCGCATGCCTGTAATTCCGGCTACTCGGAAGGCTGAGGCGGAAGGATCGCCGGAGCCCAGCAGGTCGAGGCTGCGGTGGTCGGGAGTGGCCACTGCACTCCAGTCCAGGCGACCGAGTGAGACTCCAACTCAAAAAATAAATAAATAAATAAAAATAAAGTCATCTAGATTCTAAAGTTACAGACATAGGCTCTTGGCTGGTACTCCTTCCCATGTGGGACAAAAAAAAGTGACAGCTACACAGCAGTGGTAGAGGAACAAAAACAACTCTCTAAGAAAAACCACACTCTAGTTAAACTAGTTGAAATCAAATACTGTTTTCCTGGTCACACTAAATATTTGCTGAACAAGAGGGAAAAAAAACAGGAGCAGAAAAAATAGCACACGATGACAGCTTAAGTCTCTAACCAAGTCAGGATAAACAGAACTTAGAAAGCGTAAGAACTCAAAAAGTGTTTGTGAAGTTTTTTTAACATCTCACTTTTATTTTATTTATTTATTTCTTTGAGTTGGAGTCACACTCATGGCCACCTCAGCGTCGACCCACCGGGCTCCAGTGATCCTTCCACCTCAGCCTTCCAAGAAGCTGGAACCACAGGCGTGCGCTTCCGTGCCCGGCTAATTTTTGATTTATTGTAGAGATAAGGTCTTGCCAAGTTGCCAGGGCTGGTCTTAAACCTGTGGGCTCAGGCAGTCTACTTGCCTCGGCCTCCCAAAGTACTGGGATTACAGGCTGAGCCAACGAGCCCGGCCAACTTCTTACTTTTAAAGCTCAATAATCATACAGTCTTCTTTTAATAAGCATCACCTATTTCCCTACCTAAGCACATGTGGTCTCTTTTTTTGTTTGTTTTTGAGTCGGATTCTCACTCTGTCACCCAGGCTGGAGTACAGTGGCACACTCACAGCCACTGCAGCCTCGACCTGCTGGCTCAGGTAATCATTCTGCCTCAGTCTTCCAAGTAGCTGGAACTACAGGTGTGTGCCACCACACCAGGCTAATTTTTTTTTTTAATTGTAGCGACAAGGACTCGCCAAGTTGTCCAGTCTGGTCTCAAACTTCTGAACGCAGGCAATTCTCTAGCCTCTGCCTCCCAAAGTGCTGGGATTACAGGCGTGAGCCACTGTGCTCGGCACACATGTGGTTTCAAGTCTTTGCACCATTTGGCAGTTTTATCACACCACTGAACCTAAAATAAGAATGAGATGCATAAAACCGTCCTTTTGTTATTGCAAAATATGTACCACATTTGCTAAGTACACACTGCCTCTGTCAAATGCTATAGGAATGCAGAATTTTATGAAAACCTGTAAACATCGTCAATGCCAACCCTCTTGTGCAGAGGATGCCATCACCAAGGGAGAACCTCTAAAAGCAGACAAGAATAGAGTTATATGGGGCATTTTTCTTAAGAGACAAGATCTCAACCTGGAGCAACATAGTAGGATGCCACCATTACAAATAAATAAATAAATAAAAACCAGCCAGGCATAATTAGCCTGGGGAAACAGAGCAAGACTTCATCTCTTATTTTTTTGATTCTTGCTGTATCGCCTGGGCTGGAGTGCAGCAGTGTGACTATAGCTCACTGCAGTTTCAACCTGCTGGGCTCAAGTGATCCTCCCACACCAGCCTCCAGAGTCACAGAAACTATAGGTGCCACTATGCCCCACTTGTGGGACATTTTTATTTCAACACATAACTTTCTTCTCAGTCTTTTCCATATGACAAAATGACTTAGTAGTCTTGAGCTGTAACACTAAGAACGTGTTTTCCGTGTCTTTACTTGGATTCCACACACTTTGTTTTATAATTCCACTATTCCCAACTCTTTCCTTGTTTGGGTGAAGAGCAGTTTCCCATTCTTACCTTTGATGCTTGAGTTCTAGAATAGTGTGATCTGGCACATTCCCGAATGTAGGCAGGAGCCTGGGCAGGACATAAAAGAAAACCAAGATCCAGTGGTCAGCAGGCTCCAAAGTTCTTTCAGGCCATAAGCCAAGGGTTCTCGAAATTACTTGACAAGCAGATGACTCTGGAAAAGCCAAAGATTCTCAAAATGACCTCTTCTGGGCTCTTTTTCTCTTGCCACCAAAATAGGTATCTTAACAAATCTGATGGGAAAACTGAAGGAGATACCAATGTAGCTGCTGCTGTTTTAAAAATCAAATATGGGGCGCCAGGCTCAGTGATTCACGACTATAAATTCAGCACTTTGGGAGATAGAGGTGAGAGGATTGTCTGAGCCCACGGGTTTGAGACCAGCCTGGGCAACTTGGTGAGATCTCACCTCTACAATAAATCAAAAAATTAGCTGGGCAAGTGGTTCATACCTGTAGTTCCAGCTACTTGGAAGGCTAAGGCAGAACGATCACCTGAGTCCTACAAGTCGCGGCTGCAGTGGCCGTGAGCATGCCATGTACTCTAGCCTTGGCAACAGAGTGAGACTCCGACTCAAAAAAAAAGGAAGGCAATCCTGTCACATGTGACCATGTGGATGAACCTTAAGGACATTATGCTAAATTTAAAGAAAGCAGCCAGGATCAGTGGCTCAGCCTGTAATCCCACCCGTGGAATACCTGAGCCCGCAGGTTCGAGACCCGCCTGGGAAACTTGGTGAGACCTCATCTCTACAGTAAATCAAAAAATCAGCCGGGCATGGTAGCGCACGCCTGTAGTTCCAGCTACTTGGAAGGCTAAGGCGGAAGGATCCCCGGAGCCCAGCAGGTCGAGGCTGCGGTGGCCGGGAGCGGCCACTGCACTGCAGTCTGGGTGACAGAGTGAGACTCCAACTCAAAAAAAATAAAATAAAAGAAAGAAAGCAGTCACAAAAAGACAAATACTATGAATCCACTTATACGAGGTACTTAGAGCAGTCAAATGCATAGACAGAAAGTAGGATGGCAGTTGCCAAGGACAGAGCATAGGGGAGGCTTGTGAGAGTCACTAATGAATGGGTACCGAGTTCCAATTTTGCAAGATGAAAAGAGGTCTGAAGACAGATGGCTATGATGGTTGCACAACTGTGTGAATATACTTAATGTCACAGAACTGTACACTTAAAAATGGCTAAGATGGCAAATTTTGTTTTTTGGAGGTTTTTTTAGTTAGAGTCTCATTCTGTCGCCCAGGCTAGAGTACAGTGGCACACTCACGGCCACTTGCAGCCTCGACCTGCTGGGCTCAGGTGAGCCTTCCAGCTCAGGCTTTCAAGTAGCTGGAACCACAGGCGTGCACAACCATGCCTGGCTAATTTTTTGTAGAAATGAGGTCTCACCAAGTTGCCTGGGCTGGTGTCCAACTCCTGGCCTCAGGCAATTCTCTCACCTCGACCTCCCAAAGTGCTGGGATTACAGGTGTGAGCTACCATGTGTGACGGTAAATTTTTATAAGTATTTTACCGCAGGAAAAAAAATAACCAGAAGTGGATGATCTTGAAATTCTCAGTCTCTCCAGATGGCAAAAGATGCTAAAATTAAGAGATTCACTAACAAGAAAGTGCACTCTACAGAAAATGTCAAGGATGTGACTGTTCAACCTTTTGCTAAAATCTTAGAAATGTGAAAAGGTCAGAGTATTCAGATACACAGGGCCCTTTTCAAGAGAGTAAGAGCCTGCTTCACAGATCCTCTCAATTAAGCCAAAGGTCTTTAGGAAGCTTAAAGGTATTGTCCCTCAACAGGAGACCAAGGTAGGAAAGGCAGTGGCTCACTCCTGTAATTCCAGCACTTTGGGAGGCCAAGGCGGAAATTATTTGAGAACATCCTGGGCAACACAGCAAGATTGTGTCTCTCCAAAACCTCAAAAAATTAGCCAAGGATGGTGGTGCATGCCTATAGTCCCAGCTACTAGGGAGGCTGAGGTGGAAGGATTGCCTGAGCCCAGGAAGTCGAGGTTGCTGTGAGCCGTGATCATGCTACTGCATTTCAGCCTAGGTGACAGAATGACCCCCCACCAAAAAAAGTGTGTATGTATAGTCTTTGTCTACTGGAAAGAATCCCACTGAAATCCACAGAAGACCCACTAAGTTCTTGAGAAAATTGTATTGGCAGAAACACTGCCTACACTGCCTGCTCACACTGAAAGGGCAAAGAGCACAAAACAAAAGGAGGCTGTCAGAGTCCCGAAGTTCTACTGGCAGGAAGCAGGCAGGATGATAGTCAGCTGCCAACATGAGCAGCCTTTTGTGAAAAAGGCAGGATGACTCTGGGACTCAGCCTCCTGCACTTCTTTCTCCCCACCGTGGTTGTTCTGGGGTTTTGCCATTGTCCACCCGGACTGACAGTCTCAGTCAGGGTCTTTCTCTCTACTCACTAGTCATCTCCAAAGTCGTGTTGAGGGCCCCACCTGGCACCATCTCCGCTCTCCTGTCACCAACCAAATGCCACCCCTTACCTACCTTAAAAAGTTTCTGGGAGTGTTTAATCATGAAAGCCATCCCATTGTTTAACTTGGTGATGTTCTCCTGGAGGTCATTTGCAGTGGCCTATGGCGAAGAAAAGAAACCAAACAGAGGGCAACATGAGCTAGGAAGCAACGCTTGCCAAGAAGTTTATTCCTTCAAATGTATGACAGTTTCTATCCCTAATGAAGGTGCTTCTAACACAACATTTAATTCTGGAAAGGATCTGTAGCTCAGCAGGGTATGACAGAATTGAGAGCAACTACATATCCCTGAAGGGAGCAGGAATCCTTGAGAACCAATCATCATTTTCTGATTCTGCTGAGAACTAGACATGTAAGCAAAGCTGCTCAAGAAAATGTTGGCTGGGCATGGTGGCTCATGCCTGTAATCCCAGCACTTTGGGAGGCCGAGGCGAGAGGATTGCCAAGCCCAGGGGTTGGAGACAAGCCTGGGCAACTTGGTGAGACCTCTTTTCTACAATAAATCAAAAAATTAGCCAGGTGTGGTGGTACATGCCTGTAGTTCCAGCTACTTGAAAGACAGAAGCAGAAGGATCGCCTGAGCCCAGCAGATCAAGGCTGTAGTGGCTGTGAGTGTGCCGCTGCACTCCAGTCAGAACAACAGAGTAAGACTCCCAACTCAAAAAAAAAAAAAAGGCCAGGCATGGTGGCTCAGCCTATAATCCTGGCACTTTGGGAGGCCGAGGCGAGAGGACTGCCTGAGCCTGGAGGTTCAAGACCAGTCTAGGCAACTTGGTGAGACCTCTTCTCTACAATAAATCATAAAAACTAGCCAGGCATGGCAGCATGCATCTGTAGTTCCAGCTACTTGGAAGGTTCAGACGGAAGGATCACCTGAGCCCAGCAGATCAAGGCTGCAGTGGCCATAAGCGTGCCACTGCGCTCCAGCCTGAGTGACAGACTGAGACTCCCAACTCAAAAAAATAAATAAATAAAAAGAAAGAAAACCTCAAGTCTTGTCTAGGATTCAACACAGGCAGAGAGAAGAGAACCTGCACGAGCTAGCAAGGATGCTGCCTCTTCAGAAAGACCGGAGCTTTTGCAAAGATAAGAGAGAGATAACACGACTGACTGACACCAAGGTTAGCAGCAGCTTCTGAAGGACACAGTCACATTGTCACTGGTTCCCTTCTCCCGTCTCTCCTGCATCACCACTATCCCAGAGCCTCGCCCTCACCTGGACCTTCACTGTTTCATCCTGATTTGTATTTACCAAGACCCCTTAAACACGTCTTTTTACAAACACAGTCTACTCACTGTTCTCCAGTCTCGGTTAGCTAGTTCTGAAATCCCTTCATTATGAGGCCTGCTCTCCTTCACACGGACAGCCGTCCATGTGTCCTCTGCTCCTCTACTCACCACCAGAGACCCTTCCTGGCCCAGAACTTATTATTTTTTCACTTGTTATCTGTCAGGTAAAATTTTCTAAACAACCTATCTCCTTGACCTTCCTTCTCTCATTTCTTATCATCTCAAAAATCTTTTATAAATTACTAGAACCTGTTTATTTTTATTATCTTCCCAACAACTTCATGAGGTAAATAGTAAAGCTTCTATGCTAAATTCCCTGTTAATATGCATCAATAGGTTCTTGGAAACTGTGACCTTGCAAAACAATGTACAGCAGGTCTGTAAATAACACTGTTTTCTTCAACATCGTTTCATTAATTTTTTTTTTTTTTTTTGAGTCAGAGTTTCACTCTGTCTCCCAGGCTGGAATGCAGTAGCATACTCCCAATCACACCAGCCTTGACCTGCTGGGCTCAGGTGATCCTCCCACCTCAGTCTTCCAAGTAGCTGGAACTACAGACACACACCACCACATCGGCTAATTTTCTAATTTACTGTAAAGATAAGTGGCCCGAGTTGGTCTCGAACCTGTGGGCTCAGGCAGTCCTCCCACCTCAGCCTCCCAAAGTGCTGGGATTATAGGCGTGAGCCACTGTACCCAGCCTCATTATAATTTTGATGAGGAAAAAAATGGTTTAATCACAGGTCATTTCGCCTAAAGTCAGTTTCCAAGAACCTATCGATTACATTAAGTGAGAACATACTGTATTACACCCAATTTACAGAGGAGGAGCTTACGCATAGAAAAGATAAAAGCCAGAGAGCTTAACTGGCATTAAGTTTCCAGCCCAGGTACCCTGGCTCCCAACTCCATCACACAGTAAAATTTATATTATGAATGGGCAGGAATATGAGTTATATTTGAAAGTCTTTAGAGAATTTATTTCCCATGTAAGTTACTGAGAAGACTGTGGTCTCAGTACTAAGAAGCATGTTCAGCTTCATCCAAGGAGACTACATCTACAGGAAACAGAAAGTTCAGACAAGGCAGGATAGCTCTGTTATCTCATCTATAAGTGTGGGGACAGTATCCCATAAGATAGCTCTATTCTAAATGTATATCATTTGATATTCAGAAATGAATTTGCTTTCCCAAGAAGGCCTTCCTGTTAAGAAAGATTCCAAGCCGGGTTCGGTGGCTCAGCCTGTAATCCCACACCTTTGGGAAGCTGAGGTGAGTGGATTGCCTGAGCCCGCGGGTTCGAGACCCGCCTGAGCAGCGAGACCTCATCTCTACAATAAATTAAAAAATCAGCTGGGCGTGGTAGCACATGCCTGTAATTCCAGCTACTCGGAAGGCTGAGGCGAAAAGATCGCCGGAGCCCAGCAGGTCGAGGTTGTGGTGGCCGGAAGCAGCCACTGCACTCCAGTCTGGGCGACGGAGTGAGACTCCAACTCAAAAAAAAAAAAAAAAAAAGAAAGATTCCATATTGACCAGTCAAAACGAGCATTCTCGTTTACTTAGTAGCTATCATTTCACACTAAGAGTTTCCACTAATAACCATCGTGCAGGTTTATCAGAGATTGATTTATAAGTGCAGCTAACTGGAATTGGCCCCCTTGGGTTTGATGACTCTTGAATGAACTAACAAGATAAGCTCCTAACCTCTTGTCACTGAAGACCAGACCTTGGACCCTGGAGAGCCTCACCAGGGCACAGTCACAGGAGGCCCTGCCCAGGAAAACAAGCCACCTTGACTCTTCCTCTCAACACTCACATTTTTTGGCCACAGGACATGGGGTGCAAACATGAGGGCAAGGTTATAGGCAGACATCTTATTCTTATCTTGTTTCTTTGCCGTCTGGTACAGGAGATCGAGCAACAACTTCAGCAAGTTACGATTGGGAGGAGGGAGGATGAGGAAGAGCAGCTGGAGAGCCTCGATTTGCCGGTCCTTATCAGGTATGTCGGTCTTGTTTCCCTTACCATCGAATTGCATCAAATCTGAGAGCAAAAGAGAATTTGCAAAGGAGGAAGAACACTTTAGCAGGGGGAAAAAATATCAACACTATTACTGTTAATCCAACCCTCAGCTCCCATCAAAGAAAGGAAAAAAAGAATCGGGCATAAACAAAATTCAAAGGTTACAGCAAAACGTAATAACAAAATTATGTCAATACAATTCAACAGTAAGACAAAAAAATGTTTAATGCAGCAAGGATTTGAACAGACATTCCATCAAATGAGGTCTACAAGTATCTGTATGCTGGCCATCATTAGCTGTCAAGAAAACAAACCAAAACCACAATGAGATACCACTCACACCCTCAAGATGGTTATCACCACAAAAGGACTGACAATAACAAATGTTGGCAAAGATGTAGAGAAAAGTAAATCCTCCTACATAGATGGAGGGTATGTTCACTGGTAAAAACACTAGGAAGATATTTTGGCAGTTCCTCAAAAAATCAGTTACCCTTTGGTCCAAGAATTCCATTCCTAGTCATGTACCCAAGAGAAATGAAAACAGAGCCACATATGCCTTAGATATGCCCAGTCCACTTCTTCCCACTCAGATATTTTACTTCTAAAAGAAAAATGAGAATGAACTATGCCCGCCTAACAGGAGGCTTAAGGGCAGCTCCTGGTGGAGTCCGAATCATTGTTTCTCCTCTAACAGGCCAAACAGGTTATCAACAAAAACAGTCCCCTAGATAACAGAACTTCAAAGGACATTAATAACCTCTAGGCATAATTCATAAAGATCTGAAAATGATTACTGTGTTATTTAAGCTGTTCAACCTCAATCATTCCAGGTTTAGGAAAGCAGATAATATTTCTAGAAAATGTTCCCTGTTATCATGAAACTGAAAACAAAACCAGTTATCAGCAAGGCATATCAACTGCTACAACTGTGCCCCACCTTGGTATGTTCTCAAAGAACAGTGACTCATGGGGTGGTAGAGGCGAAGGCTTCCAACATGCACTGACGGAATGAACATAACAGGAAAGCACACAGGGCAAGCATCCTTCATGCTAACACTTGTCAAAAGAAGTATCAAGACTTTCCAAGTCCAGGCCGGGCTCGGTGGCTCAGCCTGTAATCCCAGTGCTTTGGGAGGCTGAGGGGAGTGGGTTGCCTGAGCCCATGGGTTCGAGACCTGCCTGGGCAACTTGGCAAGACCTCATCTCTACAATAAATAAAAAATTAGCCGGGTGTGGTGGCACGTGCCTGTAGTTTCAGCTACTTGGAAGGCTGAGGCGGAAGGATCGCTGGAGCCAGGAGCGGCCACTGCACTTGAGTCTGAGTGACAGAGCGAGACTCCAACTCAAAAAATAAAAATTAAAAAAAAAAATAAAAGAGGACTTTCCAAGTCTTTTTCAAAAGCTAACAACCTTGTTTCTTCTAAAATAATTGTAAAATTACATAACACTCTAGTAATATTTACTCGTTTGTATTATCTGAATTGCGACTAAAAGTGCTAGGAAAAAATATAAGCTTATTAGATTTTAAACATTTAAAACTACTTTAGTTTTTTCTTTTTCATTTTTGAGTCAGAGTCTCATTCCATCTCCTAGGCTGGAGTGCAGTGGCACACTCACGGCCACCCCAGCGTCAACTCACCAGGCTCTGGCGATCCTTCCGCCTCAGCCTTCCAAGTAGCCAGAACTATAGGTGTACACTACCACGCCCGGCTAATTTTTTTATTTACTGTAGAGATGAGGTCTTGCCAAGTTGCCTGGGTGGGTCTCAAACCCACAGGCTCAGGCAATTCACTCGCCTTGGCCTCCCAAAGTGCTAGGATGACAGGCTAAGTCACCAAGCCCAGCCATAGTTTAGTTTTTTGGGGGTTTTTTTCACTTTTATCTGCATTTATTTCATGCTGAATTTATTCCCACGCCATAAGTTTTTGTTTCTTCAGTTTCTTCTGGGGTCTCTTTATCTTCTGTGCAACCTCGTCCTCTGGCTTAGAAACATTCTGCTCCTTTTCAGTGAGGATCATCTCAACGTGGCAGGGGGAGCTCACGTAAGGGCTGATCCAACCATGAACGTCTGACGGCACATCTTGGGGGCTTTATTTACCTGGATGTGCTCAATGACCAGAGAATCGACAGCTAAGCCCTTAAGTTCAGATTTACTCTGTGCATTTTTACGCATGTGCAGCAAAAATTCAGCACTCTTTTTCCAGCCCCACTGTTTGGCCTGAACAGACCTTCCAACTCCACCATTGTAGCGGCGGAATGGCACACGCTGTTTCTGTAAGGTGACATCTTTCAGGTACTTGGTGATTTTTCACAGTGCATGCCCTTGATGGCCTGCGAGGTTCTCGGGTGTTCTTGAAGTGAACATGCAGGTTGGAGCCTCAGGACTTGCACGACTTTGTGGGGTTCTTCATGTCACCCAAGTAGCGGACCATCCTGGCGAGTCACCTCAGGCCACTTAGGAGAAGAGCAGTTTAGTTTTCTAAAAGTAGTAAAAAGCATTCAAAAGAAAAAAGCTTTTCCATAAAATTGGAAGAAACAGGGAAAATACTCAAGGGCAGAAAACTAAGTAAATGCCGTGTGGATATTGATGCTGTGTGCACTTTGAGCCCATAGCAACAGAACAGAAGTACAATTTAAGAACGAATTTCCTACCACACAGGCATAAAGGAGAATGATGCAGCTATTTAGAGCCAAAAATGGAACATTCTCCAAGATACATTAAGTGAAAAAAGCAAACCACAGAACTGTGTGCATAATCCCCTACTATTACATAAAAACAAGGAGAAGGAATATATGGACTTGCTGGAAGTGTATAAAATATTTCTGGAAGGATACATTAGAAATCAATAGCACTAGTTGTGGCTGGGAAGAACTAGGTGCTGGGGAACAGACATGGGAGAGAAGGGTTTTTTTGTTTGCTTTGTTTTTGTTTTTGAAGATGGAGTCTCACTATGTTGCTCAGGTTGGTCTTGAACTCCTGGCCTCAAGTGACCCTCTCACCTCGGCTTCTCAAAGCACTGATTACAGGCGTGAGCTACCATACTCGGCTGAGGAGCTTTTTACTGTATATTCTTTGAACCTTTTGAATTTTGAACCATGTGTTTCTATTCAGAAGACAAATAATGTTATTTTTTTTAAAATATGTTTCCAAAGTAGAGATGTCCTCAACTGAGGCATAGAAATTCTTAACAAAAGCCCTAAACCAAGGCAAACATGACAAGCCTGCAATGATCTGAGGTATCTGGACCAAACCAGTGAGAAGCAACTAAAACGTTCAACACACCACACTAGGATCCATCAGATTCAAAAATAAATAAAACCTGAACTGCACTTTATTACTAGCTCCTTATCTTAATAAGAAGCTTATTTATCAAGAAAACCATTTGATTAAATCAAACTGGTCAATACTTATGAACACCCAGAGAATGTCATGGAGTCATGATCAATACTAACAGAAGAACTGTGGTGGGCTGCAAGCAACAGAAAGTTCCAAAGGACCTTTCTAAATTGAAAGAAATGTGCTTACCACTCCTTCTCACTTCTTGTACTCACCAGCAATCTTGAGGTGTGCATTAAAATGCTTATGTGTCAGCAGAGGCTCTGGCAACTCTCCTAGAAACATCTTCAGCAGAGTGGCAACATCATTCGAGTGAAACTCCCCTGATTCCAGGTCAATGTCAGCTCCATTGTTGAGAGCATCCCTTAACATCTGCTGTCGGACACTGTTTCCTGGCACTCTAAACAAACCCTCCACTCGCAAGTCTGTTTAGCACAGAGGAAAATGGAGGATAGGCAAGAAGGAAGCAGAAAAGTTGCGATTAAAATGCATCATCCAAAAGCTATTTGACACTTAGGAGACCCTTTACAGAGTCCTCGAGGCAGGTTGTCGCCTTTTTCCCCAGAGTAGTTGAGGACCTGCTACTCTCCTGAGGAGACATACCTGAGCATCCCTGGAGGTCTCTCAAACTAAGGGTGGTGCTCCCAGGAGCCATTCACCCACAAGGGACAAGTGGAGACTGAATTTAACCTACTCACTGGTTGGAAGGAACTTGAAAACTGCAAAGAAAGGTCGTGTCTCCCTGAAGACACCTTCCCCTCATTCATCCTAGCGGGGCTCATCTGTGGAGGTCTGTTGTTCCGGTAAACTGTTTTCCCAGCCCAGAATGAACCCAGAGTCTCTGCACAGCTCCAGGAATTAGAATTCTAACGTGCAATTACCTTTCAGGCCAAGAGACTCCCAGAAGCTTAGGATCAGCCCAACCAAACTACTTGTCCCTCTCAACTAGGATCTAAGTTCACCTCAAAGGACAAAAAAGATGGGACATATAAGTTTGGTTTGAACTGGAGGAAGCATGAGAGTCCACGTTTCCAGCTCAGGCACAGATTCATCTTTGAACAACCCCTCATTCGGGGGTCCAAGTTCAAATGCCTAGTGAGCCAGGCAGGTCAGAGAAGGAATGGGAGCCAAAGAAACCTGTGCTCCAGTTGATGGCGCCCAAGTGGCAACTGGGCCCAAGGATGTTAGATCTCTCATTATCCAAAGAAGTTGAAAACCTGGACTCGTTTTAAAACTCTGATAACTAATTTTCTTTCTTTTTTTTTTTTGAGTTGGAGTCTCACTTTGTCACCCAGACTGGAGTACAGCGGCCGCTCCCGGCCACCGCAGCCTCGGCCTGCTGAGCTCTAGCGATCCTTCCGCCTCAGCCTTCCAAGCAGCTGGAACTACAGGTGCACACTATCATGCCTGGCTAATTTTATGATTTATTGTAGAGATGAGGTCTCGCCAAGTTGCCCAGGCGGGTCTGGAACCTGTGGGCTCAGGCAATTCATTCACCTCGGCCTCCAAAGGCGCAGAATTACAGGCTGAGCCACCGAGCCCAGTCACTAATTTTATTTCTAACGTAATCCTTTGCAAACCAAAACAAAACCCGTAAGCAAATGACTCAAGCCCTTAGGCTGCTGGTTTGTCCCCCACTCTAACTCCTAACACAATGTCCCACATAGAATAAACCATAGATAAGTGTTGAGGTTGACTGTATCAAGACGAAACATAAAGCCACACATTTCACATTACTCAGCTATGCGACAAACTTAGAGCAATGACTAATAAACAGGAAATGATTAAGATTTATAATCAAGTCGGGCTCGGTGGCTCAGCCTGTAATCCGCGCTTTGGGAGGCTGAAGTGAGTGGATTGCCTGAGCCCACGGGTTCAAGACCTGCCTGGGCAACTTGGCAACACCTCATCTCTACAATAAATCAAAAAGTAGCCAGGCGTGGTAGCGAGCGCCTATAGTTCCAGCTACTCGGAAGGCTGAGGCAGAAGGATCACCAGAGCCCAGCAGGTCGAGGCTGCGGTGGCCGGGAGTGGCCACTGCACTCTAGTCTGGGCGACAGAGTGAGACTACAACTCAAAAAAAAAAAAAAAAAAAAAAAAAAAAAATTTATAATCAAGCTGTGCTCGGTGGCTCAGCCTGTAATCCCGTGCTTTGGGAGGCTGAAGTGAGTGGATTGCCTGAGCCCGCAGGTTCGAGACCTGGCTGGGCAACTTGGTAAGACCTCATCTCTACAATAAAAAATAAAAAAACAAAAATTAGTCGGGTGTGGTAGCATGCGCCTGTAGTTCCAGCTACTTGGAAGGTTGAGGCGGAAGGATCACCGGAGTCCAACAGGTCGAGGCTGTGGTGGCCGGGAGCGGCCACTGCACTTCAGTCTAGGTGACAGAGTGAGACTCCAACTCAAAAAAAAGATTTATAATCATAGAATTCTGGAGATGAAAAGTGTCATGCTCCCTTGAATAAATGTCATGATTCTTTAGGGACAACATATTTTTCCAGAAGAAATATCTGGGTTAAAAGGTAAATGTGATTTCATAGACACGATCTAATTTACCTACATCTTTGAGCATATAAAGCAAATAAATACGTGAGATGAGGTTTAAGAGGAGATATATTTTAAAATGTGGCTGGGTGCAGTAGCTCGTGCCTATAATCACAGCACTTTAGGAGGCTAAGGTGAGAGGACTGCCTGAGCACATGAGTTCGAGACCAGCCTGGGCCACTTGGAGAGCCCTCATCTCTACAATAAATTTTTTTTTTTTACTTAGCCAAGGGTGGTGGCATGCACCTGTAGTTCCAGCTATTTGGAAGGCTGAGGCAGAAGAATCACCTAAGACCAGCAGGTAAGGCTGCAGTGGCCGTGAGCATACCACTGCACTCCAGTCTGGGCAACAGAATGAGACTGCGGCCCCTGCCAAAAAAATAATTAAAGACATGCCACCTGAAATTATCACTGATTAGTTCCTTTGTTGATGGTTAATTGGCACTACTAACTTAAGGCAGTTCGCTCTCAACAAAAAAATTGACAATTCTTCCTTACAAGGAATAATAAGATTTCAAATATTCTTACTTTTGTGTAGATATTCAATCAGTTGGTATATCTGGGCAATGCCTTCCTCCGTCAATGGACATCCAAACACCACTCCTTTTTCTGAAAAACCAAATGATAAGACAGGGCTACATTTCACACAAACAGTGCAAAATCATCTCCCTTGAAACCGTTTAAGCACCCTACTTCACAATTCAGCAAATGTTTCCATAGGGTCAGTAAACAAAAGCCTTAGACTGAAAGAATGCCAGAAAATGCAATCAGAACAACTCTAGTCAACTCTCTGCAAGTTCTAAATCAGACTGTAGGTTCCTTGAAAGCAAATGCCATCTTCTTCTTTTTTTTTTTTTTTTTTGAGTTGGAGTCTCACTCTGTCGCCCAAACTGGAGTGCAGTGGCCACTCCTGTCCACCGCAGCCTTGACCTGCTGGGCTCTGATGATCCTTCTGCCTCAGTCTTCCAAGTAGCTGGATCTACAGGCGCGCGCTACCACGTCCAGCTAATTTTTTGATTTATTGTAGAGATGAGGTCTCGCCAAATTGCCCAGGCAGGTCTCGAACCCACGGGCTCAGGCAATCCACTCACCTTGGCCTCCCAAAGCACAGGATTACAGGCTGAGCCACTGAGCCCGTAATCCTGTTATTCTTATTTAAGTAACAATACCTGGTACATCGGTAAATTAATTTGAAAACAAACAGACAACAGACCATACAGCCATGACTGGCAAAGCGTGACACATTAGCCACTTGCCGGTATAGGATCTGATCTGTTACAACGTTTAGACATGTTTTCCACCTTAGTGACTTCCATATAGTTAACAAAATAGTACCTTTTAAAAATCTTTTCAAAAACAGTGCTACAATTTCTATATTTTCTGGGAAGGCTTTTTGGGGAGGGGGTGACCCGTAGGTATCTGCCTTTATCAAACCATTCCATGGAATGAAACATTTGAGAACTACTGCAAACAGAATAGTCAAACAACAGCTGGGTACAGTGGCTTACCCCTATAAAATTACTCAGGAAGCTGAGGCAGGAGGATCACTTTAGGCCAGGAGTTCAAAACTCGCCTGGACAACATAGTGTGACCCCTTCACCCCTCTTAAAAATAAAAATATAAATGAATTAGTTGGATGTGATGGTACATGTCTGTAGTACCAGCTAACTAGGGAAGCTGAGGAGAGAGGATTCCTTAGGCCCAGGAGGAGTTCAAGGACGCAAAACACTACTACACTCCAGCCTGGGTGACAGAGTGAGACTCTGTCTTTCACAAATAAGTACATAGATAAATAGATACAAATTCAAACTTTTTTACCATAGTCTCCAGCTATGTAAATTTAGGTTTTTTTAAATATTATTTCAGTGTATTAATAGGGCATGAAAGGCTTGCTGCCCTGACAACTATCTAAATTAATCATGTAGCCGGGCTCAGTGGCTCAACCTGTAATCCCGCGCCTTTGGGAGCCTGAAGTGAGTGGATTGCCTGAGCCCGCAGGTTCGAGACCCGCCTGGGCAGGCGAGACCTCATCTCTACAATAAATCAAAAAAATTAGCCTGGTGTGGTAGCGCGCGCCTGAAGTTCCTGCTACTTGGAAGGCTGAGGCGGAAGGATCGCTGAAGCCCAGCAGGTCGAGGCTGTGGTGGCAGAGAGCGGCCACTGCACGCCAGTCTGGGTGACAGAGTGAGACTCCAATTAAAAAAAAAAAAAAATTAGCCAGGCTCGGTGGCTCAGCCTGTGATCTCGCGCCTTTGGGAGGCTGAGGTGAGTGGA